ATTCTTTTACATTCTGGGCTTATTTCAGATTATCAGGTCTACTAACAGCTTCTTCATTAAAGGCAGTACCTCATTCTATGCCCTGCTCTTCACACCTCTATGCTCTTGTTGATGGGTCATAAAGTCCCTTTTTCTACAATTCCATTGCAATGAGAGCTATAACTGATGGGAATATATTCATAGTGAGTAGAGGATTCAGGCAGCAAGGTAGAGGACGTATCCATTCGCTAAACAGGAGGAGGCTCAAAGGAAGTATAGCAGGACTCTGAAGATTCTGAGGCTAGTTCCTGCTTCTAAATAGACGTGTCAGAGTGGAGTCTCTAGTGGGTGAACACGGTATAACACGTCAGATCTCCAGAATTACTGGTGATGTCATTGGGTTTGGCACGGTTTGGCACGATATTACAAGGGAAGCTTGTTTGAACACCTATTCCCCAAACATACACCAAAATCAACTTTTTCTGTGGGTACCTCATTCCCAAGTAATTCCCAAGAATTTTATTGCTCTCCCGGACCTGCTGGAATTTTCGTATTTCCCACTTAGTTTTTTATCCTCATCGACTTGTGGCAACCAATCTGCTTAACAGCAGCAACCCAATCACGGGTCATGTTCGCTTCCGAGTTACTTTACGGTTCTGAAATGAAGTAGAATGCATGGCGTGTACTGGCGTGCTAGTGTTCAAGGCAAGATCAAGATCAGGATTACGATAGGTCAAGCTGCATAGTCCTTTTCCGTTCCCTTGATCCAGTACTTCTTCCAATGTTCCCACTTGCTTCGACCTCTGGCCAGTACCCCAATGCCAAAAAATATAAAAAAAAGGAAGTCGAAGAGCCTTCCTAAGAAAAAATGTGGCCGTTTTTTTTTTGGTCGTAAGAGTTGCAGAGGAAACCGCTGGCTTCGTACGGGATTCGAACGCGAACTTCTAATTTCCTGGTTGCCAGTTATCCACTACGGCAACCGTCCACGCCTTTCCCAAGCGCTCTTGTAACTATAGCAGCAATGTTAGAAGTTAGAAGGATAGAGTCTTGGAGCGTTAATCCTGTCAGAGGGATGCGCCCACGCATTCGACTTCCATTCAGGATTCTGATACGGGAGTTAGCTACTGTTATTATACAAAACAAAGTAAAAGTAATTTTTGATCTGCAAGTTTTGTTGTGTTCGAATTTCCCGCGTGTGTCCTTTGGTTGATGGGCGGTCGCGATGTTTTCGCTGCTTTCCGCACAAATCATTCGCCTGTCATTCTGTTTTCCTTGGATGGTAGTCCTTTCTTCGGCTTCCTGGAGCTGGCAGGAATGTCCAGAATATTTTCTTCTTCATGACTTTTGATAATATTGGGCTTTATTTACTACTTATCTTAAAAATAGTATAATAAATAAGTAAATACTCATTTTCAGAAGTTCCAAGGGATTTTTACAGCATCTTAATCTATCACTTATACAAACTGAAAGGGCGGACGCTTTTTGGAAGGAAGGACTCTATTTATGGGTTGGGAGCTCTTACAAAGTGGATATTGTCGAAAGGAATGATTGTGGGCTCACAAACTGTCTCTTCAAGCCTTCATTCCTCTTCATACCTTCATCTCTTCTTTTTTTCTTTCCCCAGTGTAAACGAATGTACGTGATAGTTTTCTATTTATTTTTACTCCGAGCATACTTGGGGCGAGGCGATTTTACAAAATCGATGTGTGTCGGCCGTCGATGGCGCTCGGTTGCTGTGTGGTGTGCCAGTTGTTTGTGTGAGCGACATTGCTGCCCCTCGCTTCGTTTTCCTATTGATAAGCCAACTAAGCAGTTCTGTTTCCCGTCATTGACAACTGTATAGCCATCTATGGTAGTCAGCTCCATCTATCGTTGCCCCTCATGCTGTCTCTTTGCCTCTCTGGGCCTTTATGGAGGCCAAAAAGGGCCTCGACTAGTTTGACATCAGCAGAATGCCCGCTCATCCGTTCCTCGACCGACGTTTTTGATTCGCATTTACTCGGAGAACGTTCAATGCTCCACAAATACTTGTTTTCGCTTACGTAAGTACACCGAGCAGATCGATGGCGCTCTTTTTGCCGCTCATGACAACTGCTGGGTGCATTCTGTAAACGGCTTACTTCTACCCAGGTTCCTCCAGTATCTGGGGAATACCAAGAAATTAGACTAAAGCCTGGGCAGCTCCTATGTAGTCCCGAACGTTGCCGTCAAGGTCAAAAACAGCTCGATGACAGGCGGCTCTCTCGACCGCTCAGTCGCCACTCGATGGAAATCGATGTTCGTCCTCATGGAAGTTGCAGTATGGGAGGATGAGAGAAACCGGTTGTACCGGAACGGACTCTGCTTCTCTCACTGTTGAGCAATCCCCTGATTTGAGTATGGTGAGTGCCATTGTGGGACAGAGGTGGGAGATACGGCGCAGTCGACCTCTCACTCTCCCCACGCTCGTCCTTATTCTCTAGTTTCTTGAGCTTTTTCTCTCGAGGATAGCTATAACTGTACAATTGTTTCTTCCTCTTATCTCCCACCCTCCTCTTCTGTCCCTGTCCTGGATTTCGTGAGAAGAAGTGCATCTCGCCGTTTCTTCTCAAGGGCGATGAGTGTCCGGTGAAAGTGTACGGCCCCTTTGACGGCACTTTGAAGCCTATTAGCGAGCTCTCCCTATTTATGTAGTTTTTCTTCAAGCTCCTTTTACGACTGCTGCTTCACAACGGTGAACCCCTGAATCGGCCTTGTCCCGTTTGAATGATGAACAGTTCTTCGAGTGAATATCTAGTCCTGATCCGCTCGTAGTACGTGGGGATTCTCAGCTCCTTGTCTACCTCTCGCTCAGACCTAGTTAGTTGTCCCGAAGTGTCGTGTTTAGGTGCCCCCCCCCATACAAATATTAGCCCTTCTTAGTAGTCCTCATTTTTCGAGGTCCTTTGACTCCATTTCAGACCGGGCAAGGAGCGATAGTATCGCCACACTTTTGGAATCGCTACTTCTATTTGCGTGGGACAGCTACTAGTATTGTTCATTGACCATTAAACACAGGCCACCAATATCGCGAGAGACCCTTACCTTAGATGGCGTGTTCAACTAGGAACGACTAGGAAAATCTCAATGTTAATGATTATCGATTCGGTTCGGTCAACATCGCCCTTTTTGCGTTTTGGAAATCAACTTGTATGTTTGATTTTATTGAAACGGCAACAAGGCGAAGTTGAGAGGATTTGTGTCAAATCGTTCTCGTCAATCGCTCGGATTTTTCCGCCATTGCAGACTTTGCACGCTACCTTAATCTGTGAGACTGCTTCAGTTCCATTTTGCAACTTATCTTCAAACTGGAGTATATTTGTGCCTTCGGCTTTGTAAGGTAATGGTGAGCATCCTGTAATTTCGTGCTCGTCGACGAGACAACTAACCAGCGCATGTCGTGGAACGGGACAACTAGCTAACAGTCGCCGCGAGCTGTGATCTCGCTGGGACCCCATGAACAGCCAGCAAATTTCGGCGCTTCCATGATGACTGTGCTCAGTAGCGGGAGGGAATCCAATACTTACCGTTTCCGTTTTATAGGTCCACAAAAGGCTTTTTGAGCTACTCCTCGAGATTATTTATGAGTGTTCATATTCGGAACAGGCCCCTTTTATAGGCTTGACGTAATGCATTGTTGTTCAGTCCTCATACAGGATTGGTGGACAAAGTCTCTGATACCGTCCAACGATCACGTAAAATACAAAAACCACAACTGCCTTATCTCACCTTGCCGGGTGCAGATAGAAAAAGGCTTATATGGGTCGTTGAAAACACTATCAACTTTGCCTGCTCCCTTATCGCAAAGGCGATTATGACATTTATTTGCACAACAATATGATGCACGATAATAATGCATGGTCATGTCCCGTTGGTTCCCATGAATTCTCAATCCTTTAAATCACATTTCGTTCCTCTGAATGTTTCGATCCGAAGAGTTGCTGTAAATTTTTGTTTCAGGTTGTTCTGGCTAGACTTTAGGGTGGTTTTTTCTCCGATAAAAACTTTTTATAGTAAGATACAGGATGAACTTTTTATTCACACATAAAAGCTCCTATTTTAGCAAATACCCAGTGATTCCAATCGCTAAATGATTGGAAGTCCCGAATAGTATGCGCGCTGCGAGACAACTAGCTAGGAACCGCCGCGTGCTGTTAGTCGATAGGGGCTCCTACCACACCCCATTATGATCGTTTCCTCGGTTCCAAAGAGGCACTTCGACTGAACTGGGGGTCGAACATTTGCAGGGACCATTAACGTCTTAGGCGAATTCGATTCAACATTGCTCTTTTGTAGAGCCGGAATTCGTGTGCCATTTTTGTGTTACCTTCCCTATAAGTATTGTCAGAGCACCTAGTCAAAGAACATTTTGCACCTCTTTATTCAACGAATTTACTGGTAGAGTCCTCTAAGAGCGGGTTTTTAATTGCGTTTTGATCAGTGATATACAATACATGCCATGAGCTCTTTCATTTCACGCGAAGACTTCCTGGATAATGATAGTTCTTTCATCTTGATTTCTTCTCTAGCTGACATATCATTAGTGACAAAAAGCTTCAAATAAGTTGAGTCGAATAAATTCTGAATTCAAGCCTCACCAGAGTTTTCAGCTTCCGTGCCACGAATCATAACGACTTTTCCAATTGAGTGTCCTAGACACCGATCTCCTACGATTAAACCCATGATTAGGCTGCCACGGCTTAGTTTCGTAGCGAAACGAAAGACAGGGATCGATTTAATGGCTCGATAGCATACCATTCGTGAACCAATTGTGAATTAGACAGCCTTATCAGATTCCTTCGATTACTTCTTTTGCATTGAACGTCATGTATTCGCAGTAACGTGTATCGGGATGTTTTCTGTTTCCGTTTGTTTATTTGTTTTATTTACAGGTTGAATATCATGTCTCCTTTGCGTGTTCTCGTTACCGGTGCTGCTGGCCAAATTGGCTATTCTCTTGTACTTCAAATCGCCAAAGGAGATGTCTTCGGAAAGGTATCAATTCGAAAGGGCTTCCAAATCTCTTAATAGATTATCGTTTGATGTTTTAGGAGACTCCGATTGTCCTCGTACTTCTTGACATTCCACCGATGGCAACTGCTCTTGAAGGAGTGCAATACGAACTTCAGGACTGTGCCTTGGCAAACCTCAAAGGTGAGCTTTGAATTTGGCGGCTCTGGATCTTTCATCTACTCCTTAATGACGGAAATTTTATGGATACCAGTTCTATGCAATGAACTGTTGGGGCCAGCCAATGTAGATGTGCTTAACCCTCCTCCTGCCCCCGACAGACAAGGATAGTACTGAACAACCAATTCTGAAATATGGATGTTTAGGTTGGTTCGATCAGGTACCGACCCAAGCTCTAATTCCGGTCGATACGTGTGGTGGCGGTGCTCTACCACCACTTCACTTCCATTAAAGCATTTTAATGTTTTGTAGAATTCTGAATCTCCCGTTACTGCTATCGATGGGTGACAAAATATGTATGAATAGGGTTTTATGGTGAGACGTGAAGTACCAACCCCGAAGCACTGCCTCGCATGGTCTCTATAGAAGCATCCAACGCTTCACCCACTAACTTCACGAGTTTCAGGTGTGGAATGCGTGACCACAGAGAAGGAAGCCTTTACGGACATCGACTATGCCTTCCTTGTCGGAGGTAAGTTCACAGTAACGAGTAGTAGCATCAGTTACTTTTTGATAGGCAATGGTTTAAACACTGCTGACCTGCAGCTAAACTAAGAACTGAGAAATATGAGGTTAAGGAAGTTATTTCCAGCTATGCCCCGAAAGGAGGGTATGGAACGTAAGGATCTTCTCGCAGCGAATGTAAAAATCTTCAAATCTCAGGGCAAGGCATTGGCTGACTTTGCCAAAGCTACTACCAAGGTGAATATTTGAGGATGTTCTTACTCATTGCCTGATTCTGCCATTCCTCTTGCTCAGCCTGATACTTCCTGCTTTCAGGTGATTGTTGTTGGAAACCCTGCCAACACGAACGCCTTTATCTGTGCCAAATATGCTGCTCCAAAGATTCCCGCTCGTAACTTCTCCGCTATGACTCGATTGGATCATAATCGCGCTACTGCTCAGGTTGGTGTTTAGGACTGTTGAAGGAAGGCTGAGTTTAGAAAGCTCCGCATTTGCTTGGAGGTCTAAAATGGCTTGGGAAGAGATCAATCTCGATGGCTGTGTGGTCACGTTAAGTGATAATAAATATTCAACGAGAAAAACCCCAGAATTTTAAAAGCCCCTTCCACAGAGTGCAAAGAGCTCAGGAAGGTCTCCTTTTCGCTATATAACGCTTTAATGGACGACCCAGGCTGCATGTTAGGCCATTCATGCTATGCAATTCTCTTGGGTTTACCACCACAGTTCTGTTTCTTTCGAAAGCTCAAACTCTGGATGGGTATTACTTAATAGTTTGGATAGGTCGTCACATGTGAGGTCTTCATAATATTCAAAACAGTCTACTTGAACGGTACTCGTTCATGTCGAATGGGCCATTTTCTTGGAGTAAAGACAGAATGCACTATTAATGGCATGATTGCAAAAAAAGCGGTGACTAATCCGCTTAGTATGGATTGGTATCGATTGATCCATCTTGGTAAAAATCGGTAGGAACGTGGTAACAATCGATAGAAGCATTCAAAGAGAGAGGTATACCCACCGATGTCTTAACCAATGTAGATGGCCGGACGGCGACGGACCAGCAGAAAATTTGACCCTGTCACATTGAGCGAATACGGTAGAACAAGAAGAGGATACTCTTTTAAATGCTTCAACTATTTGTAAGAGGTTGAATGCATGGCGCACTCTCGATAGGGTTGATTATAAATTTGACCGTACTTTGAGCTAGCAACACGAAGACCCTTTGGTACCCTATTGTGTGTCATCTCATTAGTCACGTAGTCATTCTAGGAATGAGCCCACAGACTGAACCGAGCGGTGTACTTTCGTTTCCGATAACCGCCCCAAAGGTCTTTTGATGTGTTGAGTGCAACGGTTTATTGACGTCGGTTGCACGGAACACTCACTGACAGCAGTAGAAAATGAAAACCGACGAGTCGGACAACCTCGTCTTACAGCCGTCATTTGTCTCTCAGGTGAAAGAACTGGGCTGCAAAATAAGTGGAATAATATGGTTTCAAGAACAATTCCTTTGAAAGGATTCAGCCGCAGACGAAAGGCCAGAGAACTACTTGAGTCGTCAACTTGTCTCTTTCTCGAAATATTTCCAGAACTTCATTTTCTTCCCCAATCGTCAACAACGTCAGATTTTGACTGTAGGCGGTAGCAGCTGAGATGAAACAGCTTATAGCCATACTGCTACTTCCGTACACCTGAGTCAATGAACCTTCAATGTGATTCCATTTTCAGTCGACTGTTCCCGTCACTTTCACGGAACCGAATAACGCTGATAACTCCTGATAGGGATGCGTCCATGCATTCAGATTCCATTCAGAATCGTAGTGGTGTTTGAATCCTTATCCACTCGATACGATGATTTGAGAGACGGAGTCTATGTCAGTGCTTCTATACTCCTAAAAGAGGTTGCTGAAAATATCTACCGCAAGGTGATGGAGGGCTTCTCAGGAATCAGTTCGTGTTTCAACCCCCAATCCGTGTGTCTCATAAAGTGCCCTTTGGTTCTACACCGTCCTTTTCCAATCTGGTAACTAGATTCTTGATTAATCATGCTGATAATTCATTGCTTACGATGTCGTGAATTGGGAAGTTTTCAAGCATCCTATCAATTTCTCGTGCTTTTTGAAAGGCTATGGTTGAAACAGTACTAAAATTAGAACACATCTGTAATCACAGCTCGCTATATTGTTGCGTTCTATGTGTCATATGTCACGAAATTGGAAACGGAATTACTTACTCACCTTTCGAAATTATCCTTTACAGCTAGCAATGAAGGCTGGAGTCGGTGTCGGTGATGTGAAGAATGTAATCATTTGGGGAAATCACTCGANTAGATTCTTGATTAATCATGCTGATAATTCATTGCTTACGATGTCGTGAATTGGAAAGTTTTCAAGCATCCTATCAATTTCTCGTGCTTTTTGAAAGGTTATGGTTGAAACAGTACTAAAATTAGAACACATCTGTAATCACAGCTCGCTATATTGTTGCGTTCTATGTGTCATATGTCACAAAATTGGAAACGGAATAACCTACTCACCTTTCAAAATTATCCTTTACAGCTAGCAATGAAGGCTGGAGTCGGTGTCGGTGATGTGAAGAATGTAATCATTTGGGGAAATCACTCGAGCACTCAGTTCCCTGACGTCAAGCATGCTACTGTGACGAAAGGTTCGAACGCTCTTAACGCAAACGAAATGATAAGAACTTAGGAATAAAACTGAATATTTCGGGATCGTATACTTTTTAGAAACATCTGGTATTTGTTTAGGTGGCCAGGCTGTCGACGCCTACAGTGCTGTCAATGATATGGAGTTTTTGCATGGTCCCTTCATCTCGGTAGGTATTTATTTTATTTATTTATTTATTTATCTTAGCCAACGCTGTTCAAAAATGATGTGTATGAGCTTTCAGACCATCCAAAAACGAGGAGCTGTCATTATCCAGAAGCGTAAGCTTTCATCAGCCATGTCTGCCGCCAAGGCCGCATGTGACCACATCCACGACTGGCATTTCGGTACCAAGCCTGTAAGTCACTGTCATCTCTACACAAGTGAAGGCCACCCATACCGGAATCACAATCCTTTCTTCAGGGTGAATGGGTCTCAATGGCTGTCCCTTCTGATGGATCATACGGTATTCCAAATGGACTGATGTTCTCGTTCCCTGTGACAATCGATGGAGCAACAAAAGAATGGAAGATTGTCCAAGGGCTCTCCATCGATGACTTTGCAAAGGGCAAACTCGCTGAAACTCAGAAGGTAAGAATGAGGTGTTTTCTCTCCCAGGCGATAACAAAAACAATCTTTTCCTAGGAACTCGAAGAGGAACGTGACGAAGCGTTGAAGGCTTGCGATGCTGCCAGCATGTAAGCACTCGGAACGAGTGCGCGTAGGACATATGCCTCAATATTTGGGGTCTTAAGTCAGAATCATGTCGTTGTAGATTGTTTTCCCATTTTTGCATGCTATATATGTGCCCACGGTTAAGGATATTTGAGTTTTTAATTTCAATAAATATACTTAAATATCCTAGTTCCACTCAGTAC